CCTCCCCAGCTTTCCTGTAGCCCCCTTCAAGCACTAAGAGGTGCTCCAGCCTCTTGATCATCTTTGTGGCCTCCTCCAACAGCTCCGCGTCCTTCTCGTCCTGAGGAGCACAGAGCTGGACACAGATTTCCAGCAGGACGTCCCCTAATCTGTACTGGTTCCTAATCCTGACCATTTGTAATCCTCACTGTCCCCTAATCATGGACTGGTTTGGCTTTGAATGGACCTTAAAGATCACCTAGTTCCAACCCTCCTTCCATGGGCAGGGACACAAACAACCCCAAGTCCTTCTCCAGGGGGCTGCTCTCCATCCACTCATCTCCCAGCCTTTAGTTGTGCTTAGGATCGCCCCAGCCTTGCACTTGGCCTCGTTGAACCTCATGAGGTTGGCACCATCGCCCCTTTCCAGCCTGTCCAGGTCCCTCTGGGTGACATCCCTTCCCTCCGGCACCACACAGCTCGGGGTCATCAGCAAACTTGCTGAGGGAGCCCTCAATCCCACTGTCTATGTCACCAGTGAAGACTTTAAACAGCCCCAGCCCCAACACCAAGCCAAGGACACCACTCATCACCAGTCTCCACTCAGACATCAAACCTTTGACCCTCAACTCTTTGAGAGCAGCCAAAACCAAGCCTAATCCTTCTCCACCGAGCATCCCATCCATCAAACCCAATTTAGAGACGAGGATGTCACACCAGACAGTGTCCCATGCTTGGCACAATGCCTTCCTCACTCTCTGAATCAGGGGCACCCACCTCGCTCTCGCATGCGTGGGGCTGGGACGGAGGTTCTGCCCGTTTTTTTGGCAGCCCCTCAGATTGGGGCTGTGCCTGATGCTGGGTTGGAAACGCCAGTGGGAGAGGGAAAGAAAACTCTACCAAGCCCCAACAGCCCTCGGCAGGAGGGAGAGCAGCTCTGTGGCACCTTCCAGCCCTTCCCCTCCCATTTCACCTCTTCCCACCCCCAGGTGTGGCCGGGATCGCGGTTGTACACCACGGTCCGTGGTGGGGATGGAGGCACAACTCAGACACATCGCCCTTCCCCTGCTCTGCCAGCCTCTCACCTTGGCCACGAACTGCTTGTCCTTCTGATCCAGGTTTGCTGTGGGAGCCACGTAGTCCCTCCAGATCCTCAACTTGCGCTCTTTGGCGAACCTGGCGGGATGGGACACGACAGGCGTGATGCCCAGGCCGGTGTACCCCAACAGGGATGGATGTGCTGGGTGCTAAATTGCCCAGCAAAGCCCTGGCAGAGGCAGCAGGGGCTGGAGTCACCCCGAGCACCCCAGGGGTGCAGCTGGGAGCATGCCCACTCCCAGATCCTGGCGTCAGGCTCACCTCTCGGCCGCGCGCAGCTTGTCAGCCCCACGGGTGTAGACAGCAATGGACCAGTCCACACAGCGGGCAAAGCCCTCCTTCAGCAAGAGCTCGGTGATGTTCCCGTTCTGCGGAGAAGGGAAGGAGGCACATGCTCAACGTCGGGGCACTGCGGCACCA